TTTTTGATATATAGGAAATGAGTTTAAAATTAATAAACAGCAGAGGTTGCACAAACCTGGAACAAACCAGACCAGAGAAATTAAGTTGTCCTATATTTAATTTTACCTATATTTTATTCTGTCACTACATTTACCAAATAATTGCACACTTGCTTATTTGACATGTACTGTAAATGTCACCTATTTATGCCTTGTTGTACTTGCCATGTCACCCATTTTTCCCCACTGTTAACATCCATGTCTGATTGATGGAGCTCTAAAATATTTGAATTTATTGAAAGGATAGCCTCTTAAGATGTAACATCTCATTTTCAAGAGGGTCCTATAAACACAAAAACAAAATATTACAACATAAACAAAACATACATACTAAACATGAACACACAAAATATACAAAAACAAAAGACATGCTCAACCAGTCCCTTGCAAAAATATGGTTGTAGAATCTGCATAGAGATCAATTTTTTATAACAGAGTTTATGCACAAATACATTGTTCAGCTTTTATGACTAAATGAACTGAACTATCACACACACACAAAATAACAGTACAGAGCTGTTTGTTAATGTACTACAGTAAGGGCTGTGGAATCACTGTTTTCTCAGGTCACACTGGGGTTTTATGTGAATATTCTCATATTAGCTGGGTCTTGTACTTTGTCCTTGTACATATGTTTGTATAGTCCTTTCTCAGATGTTTAACTAGTTTAAACCAGTGTTTCTAAACTAGAATCTATTTTGTTTACTGAATCTAATAGAACTGTTTGTTTTATTCCTGACTCTATTTGTGTATATGGTGCTTGGTTACATTCAAATATGTATATTTCTAGTATATTAGTTACACCAATAAAAGCATACTGATTCGTTTTCAGGTTTTTTGACATTTATCGTAACCCAATTGAGCAATAGCTATAAAAAAAACTATTATTTAAACCAATAAAAGCATATTGACTAGTTTTCAAGTTTTTTGACATTTACGAAAACAATTAAGGAACATCCATCAAAAATCAATATGTCCTTATTAAACTCTTTTAGACTACATAAAAAGCTCTACTTAAATCACGACAGTAACTCAATATAAGTACTTTGGCATGATGAAAGCAAGTTTGATTTGTGTCCTACTCTGTGAATGGAGCAGTGCTTATTTTTGTCATTGGTATTCAGGGACAGTTCAAGGGTCTTGCTTGGTTTCTCTGATGTGGGTGACTGCATTACTGCCCGTGTTCTCCTCTGTAATTGAGGTGACGGAGGCCATGGATTTACCGTTCTGACAATGCTTTGTGCTCGAAAGTTCGATCTCCACCGGGCCAGCCGTGTAAGAGACATGGCACGGGTGATGTTAATTTATGATCATGGAAAATGAAAAAAAAAAAAATCCATTTGGAGGCCACCAGCCGTGTGAAACGAGAGCACTTGGTGGTAAACGGCACGTATGACGCTTCCTGCAAGGAAATGCATGTGGGTGATGGTAAGTGGGTGTCATTTCTGCTGGGAAATATGTTCCTATGGCGGTTGTAAATGACCCTGGTGTAACTGAACGTAGCAAATATATTGATGTAGGCCTCATTATAAGGGAAATGCAATCCGTGTCTCTCAGTACAAGGCTGTCATTCAAGTGATTCATTGAAACACATCCTAAGCACACTTGCCAAGATATAATAATATAAAAACCTACTATGCTGATAAAAATGAGTCTTAGTGTAAATTTTAAAAAATGCATGAATTTAGCAAATCAGTTCCTGCTCCAACACACCTGTCTCTGATTATCAAGCATTCCTAAGATATTAATCAATAGAGTATTGGGACGATGTATTTTTTGTAGGCCTAAACCCTGACATGACAAGTTAGTACTTTAGTACTTCAGGTTCCATCGTCCTTACGTTAAAGGGGTCATATGACGTTGCTAAAAAGAACATTATTTTGTGTATTTGGTGTAATGAAATGTGTTTATGCGGTTTAAGGTTCAAAAAACACATTATTTTCCATATAATGTACATTATTGTTTCTCCTATATGCCCCGCCTTTCTGAAACGCGTCGATTTTTCAGTCATTCTTGCGACGTGGGACAAAACAGTTCCAGCAAGGGTAACTGCTATTAGCTTTAAAAAATAAAAATATTTTCAATTTTAAATGTCATGAGGGATTAATAATAGAATGTATTTAACACAATTATCACCTTCAGTTTAATTTTCTCATTATTATACCAATTTGTATGGATTCTTGGTTAAATGCCTGAAATAAGCTTTGTGGTTCAAACAAGCTCAAGATATTTTCATGCTTTATTCTGCAACATATATAACATCAGCAATACTCCCTTGTGATTATTTTAAGGCTATTGTATTGAAAAAGGTGGTTAAGAGGAATCAGGGTATCTTCCGATCATTCGTTTTTTAATTTAATATTGCACTCTAAAAAATGCTGGGTTAAATATAACCCAGTGCTGGAATCCAACCGCTGGGTCAAAACAACTCAATAGCTGGGTTTGTCCCTTTTTAACCCAGCACTGGGTTATATTTAACCCAGCATTTTTTAGAGTGTGAAATCTGAAAAATGAAAAAACGGCACATTTTTCGTTTTTCATTTGTCCAAACGAAACGAAAATTCAAGAATTTGGCGTCAAACCATTCGTTAATCTGGCTGTCTGATGAAGAGAAAGAGATAAAATGTAGTAGAAATAGACACGTTAAGAATCCATACAAGCGGAGGACTCTTATTATGTTTTTTAGGACTATTAAATGTTTGGTTGACCAATCAGCGGAGAGGGGCGTTTCATTCCCGCCCACATGTAGAGATGAAGAAAACGTAATAATCAATATATTAAAATTTTGTTGGTCAGAACTTATTTTCTGCTATAATCCAAAAGCCAATAGAAAAAAAAAACTATTTTGTTTTTGTTGAGGGAACCACAGTGATAACTAACTTCCGAGTTGGCCTATAAAAATACATCTCTGCAATGCTCTATTATCGAGATCTTAATTAGGTAGTTGGAGGGTTGGAGCTAAACTGTGCACCAGAAACAAGTCTGAGTACCCATGTGGTAATTAATCTATTTATTTACGTTTCAGCGCTGAATGCCAGAGTACAACTAATTGTTTTACTGTCCAGTAGAATTAATATTTACACTTTGCTACTATAAATAAACCTTAGATGTGACATGTCAGCAGTTTTCTAGGATAAACCGAGTGCAGATAAACTGAGGTTCAGTAGAGTCACGAGCAATATAGCGAAAAGGCATCTGTGAACTGAACTGAATTGTTTGTTGCATTCTTACATCTAAACAGTCCCCTCTGTAAAAGACCTGCGTCAACACAGAGTTGAGTAACCATATAGCAAGAATGGACCTGAAAAACATTTTTTTTAAAAAGATGTATACCGAAAATCAATGTTTCATTTCTCAAAATATGTTGTTAGCGGACATGTTTCCTAACATTTTTGCTTGACAAAATGGCACTCATACAAATTAAAGGGATAGTTCACCCCAAAATTTTAATTCTGTCATCATTTACTCACCTTCAAGTTGTTCCAAACCTGTATGAGTTTCTGGCTTCTGTTGAACATAAAAAGATGTTTTGAAGAATGTGGGTAACCAAAAAGTTGTTGGTCCCCATTGACTTATGGAAAAGATATACTATAGAACTCAATGTTAGAGAATCAAAACAAATATACTTGCAGGTCGGCCTTCACAAGCAATGCGCAAATCAAAGTATCAGTTGCTCGGGGTAAAGAAAGTGGTGTTTAAGAGTCAGCAAAATCATTTCATTCACTCCGGTCAGCATGTTTCAGGCAGAAAAAGTAATGGCCTTCTGTTACAGATTATCTATACATAGAAAGGTGAAACATCTAAAATTGTACAACTGAAGCAGCGGCTAAAATTATACACAACAGTATTCGCTGTGGAAGTCACTGTGCACACGTCATGATTGAATCTGTCATTATTTTGTTGATGCAGCCGTGTTTGTTATCTTGCACCGTTTGCTGATGCAGGTAATGTCTTATATATGAAACAATGCTATGCTAAGAGCTTTTAGAAAATGTTACGGT